AAAAAGTATCGTAATATTTTAGAGGATAAGTAGCAGTAGTGTTTGCAGATGATGTATTAGTAATAGCAGAACCAGTTTAAAATACTGAATTGCCAAGGGAGGAACTACGGAAAAACACCTAGATATATTCAAAGTGATTTTAGGTTACTTCATACGCGAAGTTTGTGATTTTCAGAGTTAATTGGACATGCTATCTAACATGAAGCTTTAGTGTGATAATACCACACATCCTAGGGACGATGTTATCCGGACTGGTGTCCGCTCCGCATATCGGTAGCATAACGCTCATTACTGGCTCGAACGTGTTCCGCCGTCTCTTCGACACCAGCGCACGCGGGGCAGGTGGGAGTACTTGCATGTCCGAACCTATGCAAGTAACTCCTAAAGCAGCCATGGCCTGACAGGAACTGTGTCAGGTGGAAGTTTACTTCCCCATGGAGCCTATTGACCCAGCTTGACACGGAAGGTAACACACGCGCGTTGTTGCGCACCTCTCGAACGCTCCTCGTGTCATAGCACTCCCCATCCTCCTTAATGATAAGGCCGATTGGCATCATCCCTGCTATGACACAGAAGGCCTCCCTCGAGATGGTGCGGTATGCACTGGCCACCCTCAAGCACATTAGCCTATGTGTGCTCTCTAATTTCCGCCTGTGGCAGTCAATATCCAGCACCGCAGCCCACGCAGGGCCTCCGTATCTGAGGATAGATACTACGACCCCGGCGAGGAGCCTGCACTTACTGGCACTCACCGCCGAGCTGTTTGACATCATGCGGGATAATGCCCCCACAGTCGTAGACGCTCTCTTGCAGGCGTACTCGACGTGGCAGCCGAAGCTGAGCTTATCATCGAGCATAACCCCCAGGAGTTTCAGAGAGTGCACAGACCTAATTGTGCTCTCGCCAACTGTCAACGTCGCATTGACTACGACAACCTCCGTCTTCTGGTGGGCAAGCTCCAGTTTGCTGGATCTCATCCATTCCTCCACAAGCTCAACGGAGTGAGCCGCTGTCAGCTCTACCTCTTCGAGGAATTCCCCGTAGACTACCAGCGTGCCATCGTCGGCAAAACCAACAATTTTCACGCCTACTGGGAATCTTATCCTAAACACTCCATCGTACATGACGTTCCATAACACCGGGCCCAGGATGGAGCCTTGTGGCACTACTGCGGTGACTCTAACGCATTTTTCGCCATCTTCTGTGTCATACTTCAACACACGATTCTGGAAGTAGATCTCCAGAATCTTGTACAGCCCTCCGGGGATTCGGAGTTGGTGTAGCGAGCGGGCTATCGCCCCCCAGCAAGCGCTGTTGAACGCGTTCTTCACGTCTAAAGTTACCACCGCGCAGTAACGAATACTCCTTCGTTTCCGATGGACCACCTCTGCTGACTGAATGACGTCGTGGATGGCTTCCACCGTTGATCTGCCCTTGCGGAACCCGTACTGGCTGCTTGACAGGCCGTCTACACCTTCGGTGTAAGCCGACAGCCTTTTTTTATACTGGGGGGAATCTGTTCCCAGACTCCTGAGAATATAACTCAGGGTGTGGGGATGGGAGAAATAGCTCTCCCAACCCACTAAACCTTACCCTGTGCTCTAGGCCCTTGCCCTCCCCGGAACCGCCCGAAAGCATTACGTCATGGGAGGGGGCCGGTTGCGCTATGGCGCATCACTTGGTGTTGTGTCCGACGTGACACTTGCTACTGCACAGTGAGCAGCTGTGCAGGGCCTTCCTCTTGTTGTTCGCTGTTCGTTGTTCGCCCGAGTTCTAGAGCAGACGTGATAGCCAGCCAACTGTCCAACAGGGCAGCTTAGGACAGATGTGACCGCTTACCAGCTGCGTGTGCTAAGCACTCTAAGAACCCGGCGTCACTCCTGCCTTTGCACAACGAGGGTTTGTGCAGGGCTTCTCAACCTCTTGGGACGAGCTGGTTGGGGTTCCAGCGTCCCTACTCTGCGGTAGTTCGTTTAGCCGCAATATCTCTCCCTTGGTTTCGATAATTAGCGTTTCCAGGGCACACCACGAGGAGGCGAATTACTTCATGCCGACAGCCCGTTAGGGTGACCCTCTCAAGCAGTTTACCAGTGGTGTCCAGCAAACAGATGGGCCTGTATGCTGACGGGTCCCCAGGGAGTTTCCCTGACTTCGGGAGAAGCACCAGCCTCTGCCGGTTCCACGCATCTGGGAAGATGCCTACGTCCAGACAGGTCTGAAATACAGACCTGAACATGTCTGGATTTTCCGCAACGGCCGCCCTCAGAGCCAAAACTGGGATCCCGTCCGGGCCCGGGCCTTGTCCACCACCAGCGACTTGACAATGTCGATCAGTTCACTCCCTGTTCCGCGACAGGGATACCCCGCGGCCAGGAGTGAACGTCCCTACGTGGAAACAAGAACTGTACGATCGATGCCAGCATCGCCGGCGATCTCTCCGGGGGTGCCGCCACGCCACGGGTCTTGGCCATGACCGCTTTGTAGGCATCCCCCCAGGGGGTTCGTGTTAGCGCTTTGGCATAAGCTGTCGTAGCACGCGCGCTTGCGTCTGGCGATCTCTCTGTTGAGGGCCACCTTAGCCGCTCGAAGAGCGACGCAGTGTTCCTCTCAAGATTCGGTCGTACGAGCCCGTTGGAGGCAAGACGCCCTGAGCATACCAATCGACTCGCTTCACCAGTACGTACACCGGTCTATGGCCATGCCTGAGATAGGCTCTCTTATGCATTATTGTATCGCACGCCCTTGTCAGCGATGCTATCAGCTCTTCCCCCGTCAGATCAATGGTTATTCGCTCCCGCCTCAGTGCTTCGCTGAAGACCTCTTCATCGAAGAACGACGTCTACCAGCCTCGAGCGCATGAGGGACTCCCTCCTGCCACTCACCTCTCACCTTGCCCCACACTGTAGAGAATCGCCTGGTGGTCGCTGTGGGTGTAACCCTCATCGACCCTTCAGTGTAGGTTGCCCTCCAAACACGGGCTGCAGTACGTCACATCAATGACGGATTCTGTAGGTACTGACCGAACCGGTGTTGGCTGGCTAGTACAACGTCCAGTTTGGCCATTGCCTCCAGTAGGATGCATCCTCTCTGGTTGGTGTAGTGGCTGCCCCAGTCCACCGCCCATGTGATAAAGTCGCCCGCAATGACCACCGGTCTTAGGCCGACAAGTACCGCAGTGAGAACTGCTCGATGGACCACCTGGGCGGAGCTCAATAGCTACTACCATAGAGGTTACTCTAAGACTAGTAGGTCTCGAAGAAACGTGTTCAAGTTTTTGGCTCAGCTCTGGTACTATCTTCGGTCCCAAGCTAATCAATGCACCCCTCGAAATATAGGAAAATCTACGAACCCCTCATTTTATCTGTCAAAATTTCATAGCGAATCAAAACAAACATAGTGTAGTACTAGAATTTCAACAGTAGCTGGGGAGCCGCGCAATGGTTCAGGTTCAACTGCGCTACCTCGAACATGGCTGAGCATTGCTCTTGGCTCCCGGGCTGCGTGGGCCACCTGCCATGTGGTTGGTAGGGGATTTCCCTTTCCCCACGCATATTGTGCACTTCGGCGGCTTTTGGCAACCTTGCGCCTTATGGCCCTCCGAGCCGCACCGTCTGCACAGCTTGCTTCTATCGGTGTTCTTGCAGTCACGAGCCAAATGGCCCTGTAACCGGTTGGGGAATGCTCACGGGGCAAATCGACCAGCCCACTCGCACCTTCCCTGTGGCTGCCGCCTTTCTGGCATCTGCTGCCGAGAGCTTGACGGTAGCCACCTGGGTAGAGAACAGTCCCTTCCTCAGGGTAACCGCTATTGGCGGTACCTCGATTTGTCACTGCTCCCTGAGCGGCGTGACTAGTTCGGTCGCCTCTGTCACCTCGTTCAAGTCCTTAACTTGGATGGTGATTGTCGAGCCTAGCGACTTCACCTGCACTCCATTACCAACCACCTCCTCTGCCAGTTTCTGGTAAGCCGGTCCCTGGTCTTTGGCGCCACGCTTTAGCACCAGGAGCATCTCGCCGGTACGAGTGCGCCTGATGCTCCTCACGATGCTGCCCATCTCCGGAAGACGCTCGTCCGCTCTCATCTTCCTCAAAACTTCCGCGTACTTCGACGCTTCCGTCTTGATGATGAGAGCCTCGCCCTTCGTCTTGTTCCGGGCAGTGCTGCTCTTAGGGGCAGTTTTTTTTTCGGGGGTTTCGGGGGAGCGCCCTTGTTTCCGCCCTGCTTGGAGCCGCCACTTTTCTCAATAGCTCTGTTTCCTACTTCAGACCTCTTCACCGTTCAGGGAGACAGGATCGAATTCGATTTTGAAATCTGTGTTAGGGAAATCTGTGTTTGCAGGAAATCAGGGATAATTTTGATCACCATTGCAACAGTTGGACATTTGTGTTATTTTCAGTAGTGAATATTTATAAAGTGTTTAATTTAGCAGATTTGTAGTAAAATTTGTAATCTATTGACTTCTTTAGAATTTAAATCCATCCGCTATTGACAGAGTTAATTGTGGTCAAAACCTGACCACTTTTCGTAATGCGGTCAATTTTGGTTTTTTGAAATTTCACCCCCAATTTGTTGCCGAAACTGACCCTTCAGATGCCCCAATCGATTCCTATATAACCAACATATATCATAAACTAGATGCTAGAGAAGGCTCTGATAATCGCAATGCAATTACTGTACAAGTCTAAATCATGGTCTACAGAACCCACATCAAATTAACAATGTTACTTGGATTGGGAAGATTTCCGTGTTTACCGACTATCTTCTACTTATTTTTAATCATATCGAAAAATTCTGCCAAAAACATTCATAAAAGGGTTAACACAGAGGGGATTTTACAGTTCTTTAATGCGTTCCAGTTAATCTTAAATTGCAAACACATTCCATAAAAAAATGCTGATTCTTTTCATAAATTTCCTCGAATCTCAAAAAAAAACCATACTAACCATCCGATTTCTCCTCATTTACCCATTTGAAACCACCTCGCCTCTCACACCGCCAGTCTATATTGCAGATCCGGACCTGATTCTTCCCCGCGGCGGCGACATCGAGTTCACCACCCTGGCAGGAGCTTAGCAGTGTGTCCCGGACGACGGCGGCAGCAGCGGTGATCCTGCCCAAGATGCCGACGTCAACCGGAAAGCACCGGTGCTGTAAATAGGAGAGCTACCAACCGACCCAACAACCCCGATCAAAAGGGGACTTGTACCTTTTCCTCCATTTACTTGTAGTGTTGGGTAATTTTTAAAATGAAGTGCAAGAATGACGGTGCGAGCGAAGACTGAGTGACTGATATTCGAGTGAAACAATACCAAAAACAAGTGTAGAGCGGATTTGTCACCAGACAAACGAATTTAGATAAACGTGAAATCAAACTTTTGTCTTTTGCGAAAAGATAAGCGAAACGATTTGATCAAAAGAAAGGAAAACATTTAAAGGAAAAAAAAAGCAACTGTTAAACACTGCCCCCAATAGTACTTGGGAGGGTTAATGATTATTGTTTTTTTGGAAAGGAGAGTCGCGGGGAGAAGCCAGAAACAAGAAACTATTTATAACTTTGAGTAGATTTATTTTTTAGTCTAGCGAAAAGAAACACAAAAGTTCAGATGATTTATTGAAGAAGCAAGTTACTGTATAAATATCTGTTAAGGCGAGCGAAGTTCGATTTAAAAGAGATTGATGTAAATTAAGGAAAAAGTTTAAAGAAAAGTAAATCAAAACAATTAAGGAAAAAATACAAAAAAAAAACATCTAGGTAATGATTTAAGTTTAGTCGCAGATATTTTTTTTATATAAAAAAAAGTAACAATTATGCAAAAAAGAGAAAAATCCTAAACAAACCAAATGGTAAAACACACACAGCATACAGTAACAAACAATCAAAATAATTTCGTTTAATGAAATACAAGCCATGATTTTTCGAACAGAAGCGGGTCGCCGCGGCTTTCATTTCGATTTAATTTATTTTACGACGTGTCCAATAATCCGAAATCACTGAGCGGCGCGCGGGCGCTGGCACCAGGACGAGCCAGAGAGGACCATAAGGATAAAATTTAACGATTGCCAAACAACGAACGAACGTTGGAGTCTTTGCGTCGGGGCCATGGAATTTGGAATCAGAAAAGTTTTGTTTGAATGAGTGGGTGGCTGGTTGTTAGCAGCAACTATGATGTACTTTATCACCCAATCTTCGGGAATGGGTGGAATGCGGGGGCGGTAGAAAGGTGAAAGTTTTCGGTGATGCACTCCGGGCGTTCGTTGATCGGGCGCGACTGTCGCTATGAAATGTTTGACCTTTTTATTAGTAATAACCGTCGGTCCCATTGCTCACGATGACGACGCTGATGACGATGATGATGATGACGGGTGAAACAAAGGTAGTGATGGCAACAGACTGTAGTGGGTGTGGTTGGAGATTTTGTTATCGTTGTTAAGTTGGGATGGTCGTCGGTTAATGGCTGTGATTTTTAGTGGCGGGAACAGCGATTGTTTAGATGCGATGATAACCGGTGAGAAGTGGAAGTCAGATTCGTAAAAATAGGATGTTACCAACTTGATGATTGGCCATCAAAATTGTGATGGGATGGGTAATGGAGCTGTATTATAGAGTTGGCAAGATTTTGACTGCGATGCTGTGGGAAGATAAGTGTAGTTCAGATTTCTTGTGGCTTTATGGGAAATTGTTGGAAAAGGTGAGTACCAAACATTTGGCTGACAAAAACGAATATTTGCTGTCCAGTTAAATTAATAATTGCAGCCAATTTTACCGGTATAAATCTCAGAAATTTCCCGGTTACAAAAGTTACTAGGTGCCAATTTTTCTGGGCGACTTTTGTAAAAAAGATACAACCCTCGAAACATACGAAAATCCACGAACCCTTCATTTTATCTGTCAAACTTTCATAGCGAATCAAAACAAACATAGTGTAGAACTAGAATGAGGTAAGCTTTTTTTTCTCATTGATTTGTCTTCCGTCGATTTTGTTTTCCGTGCTGAGCACCAATGCTACCGACGCACAGTGGTCCAGATCTGTAATAACCCGGTCAAAAGTGATTATCTCACGAACGATGCATTTTAGACATGTGGTGTCTTCAGGAAAGTTTCTGGATATGAAAAGTCCCTTCTTATGACATTGACAGATCAATGATTAATCCCCCTAGAAGTGAGATCGAAAATTTATTTTTGTCAAAGTTTCATATTTTGGATCGGTGTCTTCGGCATAGTTTTAGAAAATATCATAACAAGAAACTTTGCTGAAGACACTAGATGTCCATTTCTTTACCCCATTGAAATATGGAACGTTTTTTATAGAAACCCCCTTAATTTAAGTTTTTGCTCTATAACAATTTTCATTTAACTGCTACTGGTTTGAAATGTTCTACAAAATTTTTCAAAACATCAAAACACACAAAATTTTTGAACATTATAGGATACTTAATGGCATAATAGGTCAGTTATTATTGATTTTTCCGAAAAAATAATAATTTTTGGCCACTTAATTATGATTTACTACTATTCTCCACGAAATCCCACGATGAAATCAATTGCAAAATAATCGTTTAGGTGTGTTTTTATCAAAACATTCGACATTTCATGCAGAAACATGCAGAAACATGAGTTAGAGGTAACATAATGCGTAATATGCGATGTTTTCTATGGAAACACCTTAATATTGAGTTTTTCGTACATATAATATTCTTTGAACCTCTACTGCTTCAAAGTAGGGCCATATATTTTCAAAATATTCCACCGTACTGTATTCTCAAATAGAAGTAATTCTTTATTTTTATTGAAAAATATATGTTTTTTGCAGTTTGATGGCGGTTTGCTGCCGCAAAACAAAATTAAGCTTTCTTTATTTTTTCAAAGCCTTACTTCTTTTTCAGTTTTGCTAATACTTTATTGTTAGCTTGGCACAATCATGGTTTGGTAAACGTACATATTAAGTAACAGATATTAATATTATATAAAAACTTGGCTAATTTCAAACAGTCTTCATTCATGCATTATAATTTCAACAAATTTTGCACAGCATCAGGTAATGTTTGGGATAACTTGGATTTCATTGGTCTGGTCATTGACAAAAGTATATCGCCTGTAATAAACCAAGAGATATGTTATTTCTTATTTTTCCTGTTTTTAAAAGAATTTTCTTACCCGTTAAAATTAATCTTTGCAACAGATCCGTCATTGTGGCTTGGCGAGAGGTCTTTCGCGTCCGATGCTCTCGAAATGACCTTACATTTTTATTCCGAGCTTCTAACGCTTCTTCCGAGTAAAGACCCATCGGAAGCTCCATCGACTCCATTACATCAGCACCATGAATTAGTATAAAGTGCACTGATGATGGCATGTAGTACCAAGGATACTTTTTCTCAAATAAACGGGCTGTCTCCAGTGCGAATATTCTGAACTTCTCGGTATCAATTTCGCGACCACAGGCTAGAGTAGTTAAAATCACCGAGAATCGCTCCATAACTTCTCTGTCGAACCCAGTGATATCTGCCACAATGGAAATATTATCAAAAAATTTGCGAGCCGTATTGCCATCATTGGTAGTTCCGCTTCCTGGCTTGACAACATCGACGAGCAATCCCAGTTCTTCCTTTAATCGTTTCTGGATCATCTCTTTCCTTTCTTTATACAATTGCTGGTTTACGCTCCATTTTTAAGCTCCATTTTGTAGAAAACATGCAACTCTAGCTCCAGAAAGCGAATCCGTGCATGAAGTACTGCAATTCCGTATTTAAATGTTGAAGCGTTTACTGGTCGCAATAACACTTGATCCACAGCCATTGCGGATGGAGTTGCTCCACAGGCATAGCAGGTAGCCATCGATGACGTATCCGTCAGGATGGTTCGAGCTTTTCCGTCAATCATGGTCATACTGAGACGATGATATATTTTCAACTCATTTCCATTTTTCAGTTGTACCATGGATGGCTGCAGTGACGCAATTTGGTCAGATACATACTGTTCTTCACGCTTCAAGGTTATTTTATTTTCTTTTATGAATTGTATGCGGATAGGCTTGCAAAACCTTGTTGACGAGGGCGCAGGATTTGTCCAAATGGTGATTGGAGGACCGGATTCATTGATAGTTCTCAACTGTAGTGGCACTATAGCTGTCAACAGTACAGAGCTATCATCTGAAGACTCGGAGGAAATCGACTGTTTATACTGTGAGTGCCCACTACTGCCATCACAGCCCCACTTATGCAGCAACTCCAATCTCATCTCAATTGAATTTTCCAACAATCCTTCACTTTCCAAGTGTTCCGCGATCCTTTTAGCGTCCAAGTCTACCAAATCCTGGAGCTTAACTTCTGCACTTGTTTCAGATACTGTGATAGCTTCTGCTGGGGGGGGGGTACGCTTTTTTCTTGGCCTCTAGTACCACATTATATGCAGGGAAAATGTCAGCATGGTGCGCTTTTCCAACAGACCTAAGCAAATTATATTGATTTTTACTTAGATCAGCTTCAATGATCAATGAAACACCTTCCTCAGGAGTCAGTTTGACAGGCAATGAATGCATCTCTGTATTCTTGTACGCATCAAGAAAATCACTGGCTTTTTGAGAATTTTTAGCAACAAATTGAAGCAGCTTTGCTGCAGACTCATTCCCAACGGTTCTGAACTGCATGGCAGCTGCATGCAGCAACTCTGCACCACTATGCTGCTCTCTGAGTGTCTCTGTTTTCCGCCGCTTACTGCGAGCTGATGAATTCTCGAAAGCCACAGATGGCCGACCTTTATTCGCCTCCTTTTCCTTCATTTCCACAGAAGTATCCTCGATATAAAACAAAACATCCTCATCAAGCCACTTACTATACTTAGCTTCAAAAGCAGAAAATTTTCTGTGACATTTGTCCCATCGCTCATAAAGCTTGTCTATTTTAGATATATTGAATGGGTCTTAAGCTATTGGTAGTTAGTATTAATAATCAAAACATACCACAAAATGATGAAATTATGCTTCGAACATGTTGAATGATGAGATTCGTTGGATTTGTTGCATTCAATGAACAAACGCAATTCAACACATAAGAAGTGACGTGGTTTTTCTGCTCATCTCTACTAAAAGCTGATTTCTCACGGATAATTTCTAGCAGCTTCCGTCGCGTTGAAGAAAATGGCTTCATTCTATGAAAAACGTAATTCATTCACTATTCAAATGATAAGAAGGGATAAACAAACCTGCTAAATTTCGGCTTCAAGCACACGATTTGGATACTGGAATTTTAATCTCTCGAAAAACACGTGCGGACTCACAACCATGTGATTTTTAAAGACCGAAGGGTACACAAAAAAGCAACGCATGCTATGTACGTTGCACCCACCCCGGGAGCTATTTGACAGCTCCAGTATAATGTCAAGTTACCCCGAAAATTCTGGTCCTCTGGTTCTGTCAGATCGAATAATGGTGGAGTAAATTTACAATTGGTCTTATTTTTGATCAACTAATTTTAAACATTTTTAAGTTTTGTTTTTTAAAAAACATTGATATTTTTTCTCATAGTTATGCAATCGACTCAACATGACGGGATTGGAAAATGTCTGCCTGTATATATAGCGTGTGAGAGCGCGTAACACATTTTTCTCAAACGAATTTCTCGGCAACCACTCTACTGAATTCAAAACAACAGCCATCAAATGAAAGGTACCATGATTCTGTTGAATGCCCTAATAAACA